GGTTAAGTTTGACATGGGTGAAGGCGTCCTGCTGTTGTAATTAACTGACTAAGCCCGTATCTCTTTTCAGGTTTGGAAACTTGAAGACAAGCTTATTTAATTGAGAAGAATGATGTTCAAAGGGAGGATGAGGCTCAAGCTTGTGTAATGAGACAAGCTCATAAGATAATCGAAAAGAGAAGTCTTGATTGGCTGGAGGGGAGAACAGGAGATGGGGAACGTTTGGAGGAAATCCCAAGCTTGTGGTGATGTGTGGGGGTGGGTGGGTATGTGCTATGTAATATCTAGACTTAGGTAGAGACATGCATCTCAGGAGGCACAGGCAGAGTACTCGCGAAGCTGAGGTCGGAAAGTACTGGGAACAATCAAACCCCACCAGTCTTTGATAGGATTTCTCTGCAGAGGTACCTCAGTCTTCAGTAGGCTTAAGTCCCCCAATGACGTTGTAGGGAATACCTAGTCCCCACTTAGGTATGGGACCCGACCACTGGCAGTGACCCTCCCGCCTGTGCACGGCTCTGAAGACTCTCCCGGCACATTAGGTTTGGATTGGGGCCTGGCTTGGCTTGGCTGCCTGTGCCTTTTTCTGCTGTGTTGAGCTCTGCCTGCGCTACTGCTGCTGCTGCTGCTGCTGCTACCGCCTTTGTCATCCTCATTACCTACTTCAACCACTCACACCATCGCCGCATTGAACTATTGATTGACTACACGCCTTTCATTCACTCATCCACTCACTCTACCTTTTCTCTCAAATCCTATTTCGACTTTTCTATGCTCTACTAATATATCTTTGCGCATGCAAGTACATCCCAAGTCCAACCCATCTTGCACACCTCGGTGCCCTGCTCCCTGCCCACCACGCCCCGATCGCAATTTGGTGCAAAGCAAGAAACGCGACGACGACAACAAACGAGGACGAAGATTCTGAATCATAACCGGTGTCGCTGGTTTATCTGCAGCCTCTGCCTCTTTCGATGCTCGCCTGCGCTTTATAGAACTCTCAACCGGTGGCGAGATTGCCCTCGAGCCAACATCACGCGCTCGCTAGAGCCGCAACGCGCATCCTTCAATCATGAGTGCATCACCGTCGGGCGGCCCCAACGGCCAGAAGCCCACTCCTCCTGGAGCACCTCCGCTACGCCGTCCGCGCCATAACGCCAACCCTATGGTAGCTCGAAAAAAACCAGTACCCCGACCACTTCCTCCCAAACCTACCGTACCACATAAGGACACCAGTACCTCCAAACCAGCCCCAGCTGGGAAATTTAAGCAGCCTCTCCTATCTGAGAATTCGGCTCCGCGTTTCGACAATCTGCGAACCAATAATAGCGGATGGTCGACACCCTTACCCCCCGGTGGCCAGGAATTTCCTCTATTTGTTACCAAGAAGGCATTGAAAGAAGGCCTTCGCTTCCATATTATGCGCTTTGCCCCTCAGATCCGGGGCGTCAAGCAAACCCAGATAGATCCGACCAACCAAGAACACTTCCCTCGTCCTGTAACCCTGCAACGCCGCGACCCGAGACAACCGCCCCCAGGTCGTGAAGTGAAAGAAGAACCTGTTGAGCAGCCTCCAGCTAATACCGAAGAGGCCGAACGGCTGGCTCAATTCAAGGCGCAACGGGAGGCCCAGCGCGCACTAGATGATGCACAGAAAGCCCCCGTCCTCAAGGACGCCGAACGGAAACGGCAGCAACAAAAAAACAAGGATGAGAAAAAGACTGCGACACAGATCCATTATCAACCGCGTACGGAGAAACAGAAGAAAGAAGCAGAGATCAGGTACGAAGAAGCTTTGCCCTGGCACATGGAAGATGCCGATGGAAAACACGTCTGGGTCGGACAGTATGAAGCACCCTTGTCTAATCTTAAAGTTGCTTTGGTCCCCTACCCCGAGACCGGGGGCTATCGCATGATACCGTTAGAAAAATGGTACAAATTTGCTCCGAAGAGAGGGGCGTTTCAGCACCTGACGATTGAAGATGCCGAGAAGATTATGGGCAAGAAAGCGGCTCCTACACGATGGGCTATAAGAGACTCTGAACGAAACAAAGTCGCTGTTGCCAAGGAAGAATCACGAAGGATCATGCACGGACCGACAGCAGTGAAACAAGAAAGCTCTACCTTTCTGCAAGCATCACGGCGGGAGAAGATGGAGCACGATGATATCGATATGTCTGGTGACGAATTTCAAGACGACGATGAGACTGCTGGTTTCGAGCCTGAGAGAGACGAAGAGGTCAAAGATTCCAAGGACAGAGTGCGTCGCGAGCAGCTTGGTGCCAATCTGTTTGGCGATGCAGACGAAAAGGAAGTTGAAAAAGAAGAGACTGAACTTCAGAAAGAAGAGGAGGCAAGAAAGCTACTCGGAAAAGACCTCAAGAAAGCCTTGCGGAAACGCGACAAACAGTTTCAGTATGATAGTGACTCTTCCGGCCGAGATCCCTTCGCATCATCATCGGTAAGCTATGATTTACACTTTGTCTTCTCCTTGCCACTAATGGTTCTATGAGCAGAGCGAATCCGAGTCTGATTCCGAAAAGGAGGATACGGACAAGAAAGAGGACAAAGACAAAAATGCCGCTTCTGGTACGTCGACTAAGGGGGCGAATACGCCTCAGGGAAAGAAAGCTACCACCGACGCTGCTAAGAAAGGCAAATCTCTTAAACGACCGGGTTCCCCATTGGGTTCCGACTCGAGCGGCACTGAGTCTACTCGGAACAAGAAGAAAAAGAAACTTGGGCCTAGTACCTCGGTTGCAGGCAGCCGTGGTGCCACTCCTCTTCCCGGTGGGATGCGCGGGGCTGGATCTACCAGCGATGGGGAGGCCACAGCTGGCGAGATGTCTGACGGAGCAGGAGGCAAGATTAAGCGACGCGCCCATTTGGGCACCGGTCCCAAAGGTACACCAACAGGGTCCCGGGCTGGTAGTCCCGTTCCTTCTCGACCCCGAGCAGCTTCCCCTAGTGCTGGGGCGATTCAGGAGACTCTGAAACCTATTACGTCTCAAGAGATTCTGGATGCACTACCACCTCTTCCTAATGGCATTTCTATCGCAAAGCTTCTCAAGATGTTTGACAACCGTGTTGATAAGGAAGGCCACCTCACCAGAAAAGACTGGCTTAACCTAGTTAAGGAGAACGCAGTATTCAACCAAACCGACAAGCTGCTGCGTCGCAAGGCCTAAGTGTCTTCAGGCGAGCCTTCTAAAGAATGTCCAAGCATGACCTCTTATTTCTTGAGGTTCACACGCGACTGGGCTTTGAACTATGAAAGGAATCCCTGCTCTGTATTTTAATACATTTCATGATGGGGTTAAGTAGTGCAGCTAAATTCTGATGTTTGATCCTCACCCTATAGACGGCGGCTGCAGCGTTTCTCTCTCCTACGAGCCTCCTTCTGCGGATCGATATTCAAGGACGGCGGAGCTACGAATTAGCTTGACCTCCTCGGCAAAGGCCATGGAATAATAGCGCCAAGTATCTTATGGTTCCATAAAGACAATACATAATGCACCGTGGTTGCAAGATAGTGAGCGAGACGGAAAGAAATTAGTTTTAATATGATCATAAATCGTAGTCATGAAAATGGGTATATTTGTTCTCGTATCAGCTATCTCAAGCCAGCTCTGATTCTACTCGTCCATCTGCCAGGAGTAATCTAAGCCTTTATTCCTCTCCCGTCGATTAATAGCCTTGAATCTTTCAGCCTCGAACCCATTACTCCGGTCTACGCCATCCCACCTATAGCCCGGCGGGATCTGATAGCGATTCGGCGCCCACGCGCCCTTGTAAACTGGCCGTCCCTTGACCCTCTTCCCCTTTCCTGCTCCGGCCCCTCCTCCATCATCCTTAGGCTTCACAAAGGCAGCCATGGTATCACCCCAGCGCACCTGAGCCTTCATCTCGGCGTTCATGTCCGCATCGTCCACATGCCGTGCGACAGTCATGATCTTCGCATCATCTAGCGCCTCGCGCCTCCGCCTCGCCTCCTCGATCTGCACGTCACCGCGGAGCGCGAGCTCAGCCTCTTCGCGTTTCCGCACGGCCTCCTCGGCTTCCCTTCGCAGCTCCGCGCGCTTCATACTCACGTCGACCCGCCGCCCCGTCGCGTCACGGTATATTGTCTCCGCCTCCTTGTGTGCCTTGCCGCCCGTCTCACGCTCGAATTCAGCGCGCTCGGCCGCCCTCCGACGCGCAAGCTGCGCGGATACGGCCGCGCCGCTCTGCAAACCGGCGTACGTCCCGTCCGACATCATCACGGGCACATCATCGCCATCTGCGTCACCTGCGGCGGCGGCGCTCTCAGCTGCTGCGGAGGCGAGGATCGCGTCCGCCTGGCGCGCCGAGTCGTCTTGTGTAGTTGCTTGTGATGTGTTGGTCGTGGTGGTGGAGGAGCCGCCGAGGACCTTCCAGCCTGATTTCTTTGCTTTCCGGAACTCGGAGCTGGTCCCTGCTACGTTCATCGTCACGTCGCCATCGTCGTCGTCGCCGTCGCGGCCTTGGGCGCGCGACCAGCCTGTCTCGTCGTCATCAGCTATTGTTAGGCCTTCGTTGGCCTGTTTGCGCTTTCGCTTTTTGGAAGGTTTCGGGTCGGCCGTTAAGTAGTGTGTTGCGAGATAGCTGGAGAGGTCGGAGGGCATCCTCGCCAAGATAGGTTGGGTGGGAGGAACGCGACAGCTGTTTTGATGTGTACCCCCGGCGATTTCGTGTTGTCGTGAGTGTGAGTTAAATACTTGAATAGGAAAGTATGAAGGGACTCGAAGCTCTGACAAAGCGACGTTTGTTAAGGTTGTGGCATGTGTAGTAGATGATGTAGTTGAAGCTTGGAACTTCTGGGGTTCGATAAGGATTGATAACATGTTTCTTTAAATGCATAGCATGGCTTCAGGGATATCTCAAACGTACATATTTCTAAAACAACTTCGAGATAAGATAGTTACTCCACCGGGCATCAATTGAATAGGTGGCTAAAAGAGGGCGAAAACCATATACCACTGGGACCCGTAGCTCAGCGGTAGAGCATCTGATTCCAGCTTCCTCTTTCGAAGGTCGGAAACAGCATCCAGAAGGTCATCCGTTCAAATCGGGTCGGGTTCAATTCCTAGTATCACCTCTAATTCTCATTACGAGATTACTTTTTCTCTTTTTCCCTTTTTTTTTTTTTGATGAGAAATGGAGACCCGGGCCGTCTAAGTGAAACCGCTCGTAAGGCCAGTACCAACCCTTATACTGATCTAGTGACGTATCGGAAAGAGGAACGCAACCTCGCGCAACATGAGATCGCCTTTTCGGATATCATAGATAGGTAAGGTAAGAGTTGAAGGCTTCCTTCTCATGACGTATTTGCGGATATAATCCATATACCGCGCTCCTAGAGTCTTGGTCTTCGTATGTCGCCGATAAATAGAGTGCATTCTGTCATACTCAAAACATCCTCACTAATAGTACTGCTGGCTATCATGTGTGCTGTATTGCTGTCCTTTCCGTCGATTCGAACGGCGCTGACGATGTGCTGCGTATCTAATGGGACGAGTTTGTCGAGACATTATGTATTGATGTTACCTATGACCTTCATGAGTTTATCGCCGAGATCCATGATGACATCAGGGGTTATCCATCCCTGCCGGTTCCTACAGGACACCGTTGTCCGCATCGAAAGCCAGCAGCGGCAGATAAGAAGATCATTGATCTTTTCGCGGATGGTGAGACTACTCAAGAAGAAGGGATCGGTAGTCATACTTGGGTAATCGCGGTGGTAAGGTGGCTGTGGACTTATGATAGCTTGGTCTAGTGAAAGGAAGACGACTGTATAAGGGAGATGGACTATTATTGCCTGTCAAATCCTGGAGTGATCTAGCAAGGGTGCATTAGTCACCGATAACCCGATATTTCCTGCCACTCTCGGAGCTCATTGTCGTATTTTCAGGTCTTCGTGAGGCTCAAGATCTGAATCTGTGACGTGGTAAGGGCCTTGGCCGGAATTAGTTGAACACCTAGACCAAGAATGGCGTATTACCTAAATATTTCATCGCCATGTGCTATAATGCCAAGTAAAAAGGCATAAAGAAACTCATCAATGATTTAATGTCGAAGCCTAGAGTGAGATATTGCCGAAAGTTCTGACAGGTCTCTATCTAGGTTAGTAAATTGCCTAGTCTAAGTCTGGTCCGTGCAGGGATTTCTCCATTCCAACGGAATAGAATTTGCAATAAGCTGTTGTCTATTATTGTATACTGTATCCATTAAACATCATTTATCTCACTCTTACATTTCCTGTACGGAACAATTCGTACCTCCAACATAGGTGACCAGCTACGTAACGCTTTCTGCCGGCAGTACATCCAGAAACATGAATTTCAATTCCATGATCAACCCAGAATCCAGCCATTAAAACGCCAACAAGTAGGTAAGTAGGCAGACAAATATATCATCACCACCAGCCCTATGTCTCTAGGCCGCAATAGCTATGGTCAGTTTGTCAGTGTACACGTGTAGCTTGCAATGGTAATGACGGCGAAGAAGCTCAGGTAAATGTCCCGGCAGTTCAAATCATAGATGAGCTATTAGATGGTCGCAAAGACCACCTTGCTCCGCTTCACTACGCTTGTCGCCAACTCGGTCAAAGAGGAGCTTCCTAACAAGTCGAAGATGCTCATCTCAATGCGCGCATTCGGCACGAGCCAGTTCCGCAGCTCAACAGCAACCAATGAGTCCACTCCATACTTGCTCAAAGGAAAGCCAGGATCGATATCACTCTCCTGGAGCACGAACATGTCGGAAATCTTAGCAACAACAGCTTGTTGAACAGCTGTAGTGGCTTCGTCAGCAGTCTTGGCTTGCGATATCTGCTCGCTCAGACTCGCTTCTCTGCCCGTCCTCGCAGTACGACCGCCGCTTCCTCCCGCACCGGCTAGCCCTGCTGGCTTTCTAAGAAGGGCGAAACGAGGGTCGGTGGTGATGGTTCTAACGAGACCTGATGCCACCTGAGATGTGCGAACAGGGCGACGAGGCTTCCTAATAGCGTGCTCAACCAAACCCATCACTTCGGCTTCACTGAGGGGCCGGTGACCACTCTTCAACAACCGCTCTTCCACCCCGGCTGTTTCTGCCACGAATCCTATGGATTGGACAATGCCAAGGTCAATGGAGACAGCTGCGCGACCTTGACTGGCACGATGACGAGCGACGGCATCCTGGTATGTGTTTCCAGCGGCATAATTGGCTTGCGAGGGGTTACCCAGGACGCCAACGCCAGACGACAACATGACGTAGAAGTCTAGCTGGTCGCCAAATAGAACGTCTAGATTCTTGGTCCCCAGAAGCTTAGGGTTTACGGCGCTTTGCCATTGAGTCCACGTCATACGCTCCAGAATGGAGTCCTGAAGAACCATGCCACTATGGACAATACCCTTGATAGCCGGCATGCCTGCCTTGTAGCATTCATCCACCAAGGCTCTTAGAGCCGACATGTTGCCTACATCGCAGTTTTTGACTACCACACGACAACCCAAGGTTGCGAACTCGTTCGTCATGCTAATGGCTTCTGGTCGTGAAGTCGCGTTTCGAGAAACCAGAAGAAGGGTTTTAGCCTTCCGATCTACCAAAAGCTTTGCCACCGAGGTTCCTATACCGGTGAGACCACCTACGACCATGTACGTGGCCTCAGGATGCAGAAGGGCTAGTTCGCGCGGTCGAGTCGCCTACAGACGGTTGGTTAGCATATGGGCAGTCAAGCGGCCCTTTAGAGTACTCACCTTAATCATATCACTCGCTGTGGGTACCAAAACCAGTTTGCCGATATGGTCGCCGGCTTGCATTGTGCGAAAGGCACGGCCGACCTCTGCTAAAGGGTAGGCTTTGATGGGGGAGATATTCTGGATGATGTTCTGATCAAGCATACGAACGATCTGCTGTAGAATCCTTTGAACAATGGTGCCCTTATGGTCGGCAAGCTGCACGACGTCGACATGGATGAATGATAGAGCCCTTCGGAAAGGTTCCATTTCCAGCGATTTATTTTCATGGATATCTCGCTTGCCAATCTCAACAAAGCGCCCGTGAGGGGCTAGCAAGTTCCAACTTGCATCCAGTAACTTGCCGGCCAGCGAATTGATGATTATGTCGACGCCCTTGTTATTGGTGGCCCTTAATACCTCCTGTGCGAACGAAGGGTCACGGCTTGAGAATATGCGGTTAGGTGGGATTCCGTACGTGCTAGTGAGGAAGTCACGCTTCTCTTGTGATCCAACCGTTGCGTATATCTCAAGGCCTCTCCATTGTGCTAATGTGATGCAAGCCTGTCCTACGCCGCCTGCTGCCGCGTGGATCAATACCACGTCGCCCTCTTCGCCACGGCCAGCCCAGAAAAGTGAAAAGTAAGCCGTGACGAAAGCGATGACCATGGAAGCCGCTGTCTCAAAGGACATGGATTCGGGAATACGCGCCACAGATGTCGATGGAACGCGGACGCGGTTCGCAAAGTGGCCATGGACAGTCAGAGCGCAGACCCGGTCACCGACCTGCAGGCCGTGCTGCCTTGGGGACGATGATGTATCGCCGCCAATACTTGTTACGACACCAGCACACTCTACGCCCATTTCTTGCTTTACTTCTTTCAGCATGCCCATGGCCGCCATTACATCACGGAAGTTGAGACCAAATGCCTTGGGCTCAATCTCAACCCATCCATCCGCTAGCGGGAGCTCTGCCTCATCGTTGTCTTTAAATACGATGCTGTCGAGCAGTCCCGGCACGTCGACATGCATGCGCAACTCGCGGCCTGGCTGAACAAAAGGCTGCATCTCTGGTTCCTTATCTTCCAGACCAGCGAACAATCCATCATTCTCCGTAGCATCTGGGTGCACTCTTGGGACCAATAACACAGTTTCTCGCTCGGCGTATTCCACATCTACATGGGAAATGCTGTTGCTAGTCGTGTGCATTGTGGCGTGGAAGACACGAATGATGGCGTTGACACTTTCAGGGCTCCACGAAGCACGGTCTGGATCAAGATCGAGCGAGACGTATGTTTTACTGTTGTCTTCGAGCCGGGCAGTGCGTAGTAACCCAAGATGCAGGGCATTCTCGGGCACTTTGCAATCTAACGCTGAACCAGTCGTGACCCAAAGGACGCCTTTTGAGTCTGTCACAAGGCGCTTGATTAGGGCGAAGCTGTCCTCGTCGTAGCACTGGCTGCCACCTTGGAGGCCTGAAAGAAAGATGCAAACCTTTCCCGCTGCATCGTAACTTGCAAGATCAGCTAGGGCAGGTGTTGCACCGGTCTCACGTACAATCTTTTCCATAAGCGACACAGTCCAGTCGCCTGGAGGTGGATCGTCGGCGTAGACGATAGTGACATTTCTCTCGAACTCGGACTGTTGACTTGACTTTGCTGTAGACAAGATGCAGCTCATCGCTTGATGTTCTGGGACTTCGCAGTCCCACACATTAAGATCTAGTCCAGTGAATCCTGTTTGGCGCAAATGTTTGTCCCAAGTATCGAGTGACATGTTAGGACTGAGCTTCCGGTCGGGCTCCTCACTGAGCCACCAGCCAGGCACCGATCCGAAAATCAGTTGCATCTCAGGAGTGTCCCGTGTTGTTTCGACCAAGACTAACTTTCCATCATCTTTAAGTAGCTTCCTTACGTTTTCCATCGTGTTTGTCATGTTCTTAGTGGCATGTAACACCTGTGCCGCGATGACAACGTCATACGATCCTAGCTTGAAACCTTGTGGTTCAAGGTCTTTCTCGATATCCAAGGTAGAGAACGTTATCATTTCGCCCCAGGAGCTGAGATTATCTCGTGCGGCCTGGAAGAAACCCGCTGAAATGTCAGTGAAGTCATAATGTTCAAAGTGTGGCCCATCATCGCCGGAGAGGGCATCTAGCACGGGGATCGTGGCGCCTCCGGTTCCTGCTCCAATCTCGAGGATTCTGATCTCTGGGTTTTCATCAGAAATGGCGCGTACTACTTTAGCTGCCTGTGAGGTTGAGCGGGTAAAATGTAGAAGGTGCTGATAAAATTGATATAAAAGCTGGCCTTCGAGCATCAATTCTAGCGGTGCAATTTCTTTGCGCAAAATACGAAGCAGATT